TAATTTTACAAATGGGGAAGTTTTAAAAGTTTTTGTTGAACGAAGTTTGTGGGCACACAGACGAGTTCAGTGGAAATATCGATGTCCAATCAATAATGTGGGCGATTTTATTAGTACTAGTGGTCGCCTCAAAACTCGACTTTTTTAATTTTGAACGTCTCTCAAACAGTAAACTTATTAGTAACTAGTTATATTTTTATTTTTTTAAGCATTTAACTGCTACATGTTTAAATCTCAAGAAAATATTACTAGAATAAATTTGACACGGGCTATTAGGACCGCGGTAGCATAATGGTCAGTGCATCGGCCCGGGTAGCGGAGGGTTTGACGAGCAGTTCCGAGAGAAGTCCCGTCTGCTGCCTGGTCCACCTGGTCATGGTAGTGTGTTTAATGTTGTTTTTATTATATTAATAAATTTTCTATGCATTATTATTATTTAAGACTATGAAAAATCTCACACTCCTCCTTGAATAATGGACTTGAAAAGGGGTACAAAGCATTTCCCTCAGTTTTTATAATAATGATGATTTTCTTACAAAGCGAAACCTAGGGAAATCCGCAGACCACACCATTGCTCGAGAATTTACCGGTTTTAGACACCTTTTTTAAGTTTTCTAATAATTTCTTCTACAAATTATTAGAATATAATTTTTTACGAAAATAAAAGTTGCGCGAAATTAGTATTAACGGCGAAGAAATCGCAAACGAAAACTAGATATTACAGTATTGAAGAGAAAACGAGGCATTCGGTAAATTTATCGCGCATTTATTAAAATATGGCGGAAAGTCTATCAAGGGATACGGCAGTTCCGGATATTATTTTAGACTTGGATCATAAAAAGTAACGATCGTAGACTTTGGTACAGGGGAGGAGGATAAAAGTCGAGAATATAGAATCATAACCTTTAGTCACATGAGCAAAGAAGGTTCAGATACAAATCTTCATACAATTGTTGTTGCGTGTGTTAGTGAATACTGGCTGTCTGTAGCGTCCGCAAACAAACGTTACTATTAGTAGAGGAGCCGGGAGAGCAGGGATTTTGGGATTTACTCAAGCGCAGCAAAATAACTTGAGGGGGGGGGGGGGGGTTCAACCTTTCACCTTGTGAAGTAATCCCGCCATATCTGAGCCCTTTATGTAGGGCCAAACGTCGAAGGCAGCAAAACCTTTTCAACAAACGGCCATGACTTTTGGTCGCGTCCAAATAGCCAGTCTATTGAACAGACGCTAGAGGGTTCACTTAACGTTTCTGATGACGGAAAAAATATAAAGCCGCCAGTCTGTATGGTGTGCAGAAAATTTTATTTTCGAGCACGTCAGACATTTCGAAGGGATGTTATGTGAACCCAACCGCAAGTTCTATTGGAAAGACTGACGATTTGGACGCGGCCAAAATTCATGGCCGATTGTTGATTTTTTTTTGCTGCCTAGACGTTCGGCCCTACATGAAGGGCTCAGATATGGTGGGGGTTCTTCACAAGTAGCAAGGTTGCTCCCCTTATGTTATTTTACCGCGCTCGAGTAAATCCCTAAATCCTCGCTTAGGTTCCCCGTGTACATTGGCGGCGACAGGCTGCCAGTACTCGCTCACACATGCGCACTGCAGGAAGCTTTGTCTTCTTTACTTATAAGCTTTAACTCCCTCAAACGTCACAGCCGAAGCGTCACGTTTTTAGACTTACAGCTGAATTCAGTGACGTCAAGTGATGTTTAATTTATATTAAAGTCGATGATCTTACTTTCTTTGCGATATCAATAGAATAAGTCACGTCTCTGAGTATGGCCGTTATAGTATTACTGCAGCATCCAGCAAAAGAGACATTGTTGGACGAACGTGTAAAATAGTGCCTAGCTGTGGCCAAGACTTGTTTGTGCTTTTATCAATTAATGTGCGGAATTTAAAACTAAATATTTACCTTGCAAAATCAATAACAACAATGCAACAATTTAATTTTTTATCTCGTTAAAGTGTTCATTTCTTTTTTTTTTCAATAAACAGCTTTCTATTTGTTCCGTTCGAAAATTCAATAAAATCAACATTCAATATAGAAGTAAAAGTTATGTTTCGGAGGAAAAGAATGTTCTAATAATAATAATATATATATATATATATATATATATATATATGGAAAAGCAAGGAGCTCCACGGGCGGTTCTATCGGGCCCTAACAGGGCCTGATGTGGACCAGCTCACCTCCGTGAACTGGCTACGATTCGGTGATCTCTTTGGGGAAACCGAAGGGTTTGTCTGTGCAATTGCTGACGAAGTCATGATGACGAACAACTATCGGAGATATATCCTGAGGGACGGAACGGCCGACATTTGTCGAGCATGTCGTCGGCCTGGTGAATCCCTCAGACATATCGTCTCTGGTTGTTCTCATCTGGCCAACGGTGAGTATTTGCACAAACATAATCTCGTAGCCAGAATTGTTCACCAGCAACTTGCTGTTCAATACAACCTTGTAGAAACCGAGGTGCCGGCGCCAGTTCTTGAAAATGGTCTGGCAACGCTCTATTGGGATCGACCTGTCATTACGGACAGGACTATTATTGCCAATAGGCCTGATATCGTATTGACAGATCGATTAAAACGCCAGGCAGTGCTCATCGATATCACCATCCCGCATGACGAGAACCTCGTGAAGGCCGAGAAGGACAAGCTCAGCAAGTACCTGGGCTTGGCCCACGAGGTAACCGCTTTGTGGGATGTGGATTCGACGATCATTGTCCCTATAGTCGTTAGCGTAAACGGTCTCATGGCGAAGAGTCTCGACCAACATCTAAAGAGCCTCTCGCTAGATGGTTGGGTCAAGGGGCAGATGCAAAAGGCAGTACTAATGGACACGGCGCGCATCGTCAGGCGGTTTCTTTCTCTGCGGCCCTAACCACCGGTAGCTTGGGCTGCGCTCCGCTGCGGGTGGCCTTCTAGGTTAGGTTTTTTATACTATATTTATTTTTGTATTTACGTTTTTGTATTTTACTTTTATATCTATTTTATAAAAAACCTAACTTGTGAAATGAAATAAATGAGAGAATAATAATATTTCCAACACTCACACCAATTAGCCTAGCCCCAAAGTAAACACTATAAGGCTTGTGTTATGGGATACTAGGGTAACGGATAGAATACATATACTGTGCATATATAAGTATATTTATATAGAAATACATGTTACATCCATGACTGGAGTACAAATGCTCGTATTCATCACACAAACATCTGCCCCCACCGGGATTCGAACCCGGGACCTCTCGAGTCAGCGACACCATGAAACCCGGCGTTCAAACCACTCGGCCATGGAGGTTGTTCCATTTTTAAATTACAGACATGAGTTTACTATGTAAGTTAACCACTTTCGCCGGCCGCTGCTAGCATGCATTTGGTCAAAACAGCAATTTCGATTTATCTCGGAAACGGTTGTTAAAATAATGCTTAAATTTCCAAACATGTTTGAGAAAAACACCTAATATACTAATCTTCGTAAGCGGTTGGGCCTTTGATTTGAATTTGTAGGTACCTACGCTACAATTGGGCAGGACGCCGTTTGTCTGGTTTATTTTTGGTAAACGTTGAAGAGATGGCTACACGACAGCTCTTATTAGAATGAAAATTTCGCAGTACCACAAAGTATTTTATTTGAAATTAGATTTCCCACCCACGTGGTACAAAAATGTAAGAACGACAAGGCAACGAAATTGAGTAAGCACAAAACCCGTTATGTTTCCTCCACGCTTTCGCTACAAATAAATATAAAAGGAATTCCATTCACTTGTTCCGCAGAAATTTTTCGAACGATGGCTGGTACGTAGCAGGCGCGAGGAAAAGGTTGCGTTTTAACCTTGTAGGGTTCGGGGGAAGATTTATGGTTTGTTACCGAGTGTGCATTTCACAACGTGTATTAATGAAACGGAAAGTCTTACACATTAACGCAAATTGTTATTTTATTATTTCTTACGCTCCATGTACACACGTGTGCGTGAAAGCAAGGTGGAAGAAAAAGAATGGAAAAGTATTTTTATTTCATTTCAGTACTATCGTAAGTGTTACGTTTTTTATGATATATTTTATAATGATAAGAAAATAAAATCTGACATTACCAATTGATGACCAACCATTGATTGGTATTACTAATTATTACTTACCAACTGAAATGTGAAAAGATTTTACTTTGTAGCCAAAAATAAATAAATACAAAAAAAAATAAGAATAAATTCGAAATGTCTCTTTAAGGTCTCGGTAGCATAGCCTGGCAGTCAGTGTTAGGGGAGCCCAAGTGGGGATTTTAGGATTTACTCGAGCGCGGCAGAACAACATAAGGGTAAATTTTATTTTTGCCTACATTGCAGCTTGTGAAATACTCCCAACATAATACCTGAGCCCTTTTTGGAGAGACAAATTCCACCAACAGCCATGACTTTTGGCCGCGTCCAAATCGTCAGTCTTTTGAAAAGAAGCTACTAAAGGGTTCAGGTAAGCTTCTGGCGCCGTAACGCGTTACGTAACGAAGCAGTTTACCCTCCTACAAGAAATTTTCACTTCAAAAACATATTCATAAAAAAGATTTTCTGAATATCTTCCTATTGAATAAATGGGCACAGGATATTGGTAGGTGAAAAGGATATTTGGAGAGTGAAAAGGGGTTGGAGGGTGAAAAGGGGATTGGAGGATGTAAAGGGGATTCAAGGGTGGAAAGGGATTCGAGGGTGAAAGGGGGATTCGTGGGCGAATAGGAGGATTGGAAGGTGAAAGGGATTCAAGGGTGATAAGGGGATTGGTGGGTGATAATATGGATTTGGTGGGTGATACTAGGGATTAATAGGTGAGGGACTGGGGTAGGTCTGGGGACACCCCTCTGGTACCTGAGCGGGCTGTGGCTTCTATCTCCTTTGGGTGGTCGCGGCGAAGGGAAGCCGGACAGACTGGCACCGTAACGCGTTACGTAACGAAGTGGTATGTACTCCCTTAAGAAGTTATCACTTCAAAAAAAAAACTCACCTTCGACCGCCCTCTGACCCGCTTGCCAGTGTTGAGTCGCAGCCAGGCGTCCCAGCGGTGACGGTACACTGATATTGTGTTCCATCTGCCCAACTTCACTGGCTCTGGAGAGCGAAGAACGCCAGCGCCGCTGCCACAGTCGAACCTGGAGAGAAGATGAAACAGCTACGTTAGAAGAGGTGGAATTAAGTAATTCTACTACTATTTTAAATGTATACTACCCTAATTTGGTGATCTTGGGTGAAATTATCAATCAATATAATTGATAATTTCCTTTAAGCGTTACCTACTCGTAAGAAATCATGCTTTGATTTGGTATTAAGTAACATCAATAACGCGGTCGGATCAATTTTACCTCTGTGGCTATCTGATCATGATACGGCACAAATACTGCAGTTTCCTATAGATAACAAAAAGGAGCGTCATAAAGTACATTTTATTAGTAAAGATGTTATTCAGACGAAACCATTGAGTTATTCAAGTATCATTGAAGTGTACGCCCTTTAGAGATGTATTTGAATATTTGCAAGTCAACCCAGCATTCAACGCATTTTATGACAGGTTCTGTATATAAACTATGTTTTTCCGTATATAAACTTTGCTTTCCAGTTATTAAAATTAGAAAGAAATCTTAAAATAAGCCTCTTGGATAACACAGGGAGTACAAAGAAGTTGCGCTACGAAAAGACATCTTCGTTACAAATATAACGCACAAAATTATGAATTTAACAAGAAAAATATCTTAAATATAACAAATTACTGAAAAAATGTGTTAATCAATAAAAACAATAACTAATAAAACTGATATTAAAAATAGCAAAACTATACTGCCGTTGTGGCGGCGACATCTATATGCCCCACATATATATACAACGGATGGAGGGAATCATTACTCACCATCCTCAAGAGATGGCGTTACCTGCACTGCGATCATAATAATATGGACGCGATGTATCGCGCAAATGAAATTCGGAGGCTAACTCTTCATATATACGATGCCCGACCAACATCAGTCGGGCCGCGGCCCCCGAGCTAACGTCACCCAGCTCGGAGGAAGATCTTCCCCTTTGGCCTTCCTACACTGGAGACCCTCGACTGAGCACAGCAGCAGCAAGAAGCAACCTTCTACCATCGCAGAGCAGCCATCAACCCTCATACCCCTTCCTCATCAGGTCAAGCAACATCAGCAGTCACACAGCAAGCCAGCATATCAGCCTCAAGGTTCCATCGCAGCTCTCAACGATGCTTCCTGGACCTTCGGCAGCACTCGACGGCATCATCCCGACCTGGTCTCCGCAGCCCACGACCGGTACCTCACTTGTCGGCCGCAAGCACACCGGCGTGGCAGCCCTGCACACCAGCAGCTCGGACCCACCGTCACACTCCATCTGTCTCGACTCACCGTAGACTGGAGCAACTCTGCAGCACTGGCGACGCGCCTTCATCCCACCCGTCTCGACACCGCAGACTGGGGCATCCTGCAGCACACTGGCACTTGCAAGCTCGACTGACGCACTGACTGCTGAAAACACTGACCATCGACCTCCGGTCTCGGAGGGGAGTGATGTGGCGGCGACATCTATATGCCCCACAAATAGACAACGGATGGAGGAAATCATTACTCACCATCCTCATTGGTTGTTGTCGCCGCCACACCGTCCTCTTAACTAACTAAAGTGCGGCTAAATGACATGTGACATTTTTCAGTCTTAAATTGCATCTTATACAGTTTTTAATTCTCTATCGATCTTTCTTTAACAAGTATTCGTATCTTTTATAGTTTAAGTCTAAAAATCCGTCATGTGATGAATGGTTACAAAAAAGCAATAATTAAAAGTTTACGCGCTGTTTTTGGCCATATCTCAAAAGTTGGTTTTGTCATTTAGTCGCGTTTTAGCTTGAAGGCGGCAGTATAGGTAAAGCTACATGGATAATTATACAAAAGAAATCAACAACATAGAAACAAAAAAAAAATTAATTAAGTACTAACCAACGGAAAGGACATACAGTCACCCATAGACATAAATAAATAAATATTTCCAACACTCACACCAATTAGCCTAGCCCCAAAGTAAGCACTGTAAGGCTTTTGTTATAGGATACTAGGTAACGGATAGAATACATATACAGTACATATATAAGTATATTTATATAGAAATACATATTAAACATCCATGGCTGGAGAGCAATTACTCGTATTCATCACACAAACATCTGCCCCCACCGGGATCGAACCCGGGACCTCTCGAATCGGCGACACCATGAAACCCAGTGTACAAACCACTCGGCCACGGAGGTCGTCAGTCAGTTGTTTGACATCCGTAACAGCATACGGTACTGTTTCATAGTAGGTACTAATTACAAGCGTATAATATGTTTTATTCAAAAGCCATTCAATCTAACCGTCACAGAATCTATACAATAACGTTGCAAATAGAACCCTTGAGGCGTACTAATTAAGGATCACAATGAAGGCAGTTAATTAGCTCGTATTAATGTATTATACCCTTGATCTTAGAAACAACAAAGTAATTAATCATAGGTAGTGTAAGAATACTTAGGTATATGATGGGGGAAAATAACTTATTAAGCTTAAATAATATTTTTTATTTATTCATTTGTCTGTAATCAGGCAACTTAGGCCCATACATAAATACCTTATAGTAAATAAATAAATATTTCCAACACTCACACCAATTAGCCTAGCCCCAAAGTAAGCACTATAAGGCTTGTGTTATGGGATATTAGGGTAACGGATAGAATACACATACTTTACATATATAAGTATATTTATATAGAAATACATATTTAAACATCCATGACTGGAGTACAAATGCTCGTGTTCATCACACAAATATCTGCCCCCACCGGGATTCGAACCCGGGACCTCTCGCGTCGGCGACGCCATGAAACCCGGCGTACAAACCACTCGGCCACGGAGTTCGTCAAGTAACACATAGTCTAACACATAAATACAGATATAGGTAATACATTAAATATTAGTAATTAAAAATTAATAACTATGCTAGTAGAAACCTAATTAACATGTATAGACGGCGACGTGTGACTCGGAATGGTGTTAGGTAGCCGGCCTCGGAACCGCCGGAACGCAACACCTTTCGGCCAAAAATCTTCCTTCATGAAAGTCAGCAGGTGTTCGGTCGACACCCGCACCACAAAGGAATTTAAATTCACATTGTGACGGGACTCCAACCGTGCGACTGTCAGGGAGAATTTGGTCTTAATCCGCAGGTACTCTACAATCTACTCTTCCTTCGTAGAGTAATGCAACAATAGTTAGGTACTATATTGTTTTAAACTTTCATGGTCACTAACATTATAGTAAGTGTATAGTGTAGTAGTGTGTATTGTGTATTATAACATGAGTTACTCCGTGATCATGGCGCTTGCAACAGTGCCGAAATATCGGAGACTCGCTAAAAACAAGGTACATGATAACAATCCCGTTAATAACATATATTACTATAGTTAGGTACTAGTAGTAAGACTAGATTAGAAAAGAAGTAAAGAATTTGGATAAAACTCTTTATAGAAGTAATGTTCTGTTATAGCTTAGAGCTTTCCCTTCATAGGCTCGTTGTTATTGGTCGACAATAACGGATGCGTTATCGCGATATCTGTTTAAGTACATTATGTATTAGAACGGCTGCGAAATTACGCACTACGAAGTAAGGCGCATTATCGCAATAAAAGCATCCGATATTATAGACCGACAAAAACACGCCAATGGGGTTGAGGCCTTACTTTGGTTAAGCATGTCTAAGGTTCGTGATTTCTAGGACATGGTTGTCAATGGTCGTAATAGAAAATATCATATATGGAGCCAAGGACGTCGCCAGCTTATGACTAGGGGGGGGGGGGGGGGCAATGAAGCAATATAATAGGTAAGGAAGTCAATTAGCTAGCTAGCTACATTTTATTAGATCTTTAGGGGGGGGCAACTGTACCCCCCCTGCCCCCTCTTGGCGACGCCCTTGTCTTGAGCTCTTCCGTGCTTCAAAAGGCACGTTCAGCTTTGCTCACGGCTGCGTATGCATTCGTTATTCCCACCAATCAGCAATCGGCTCGAGTCAGTCAGGAGTATCGCAAATGCGATGCTGGCCTTTAGAGAGTAACCTCTTGAAGGTTCTCGAATCGTTGGTCCAGAAATACTGTTGACTACGGGATATATTGTCACCAACTTTGTCGTACGTTATAAAAATGACGACAATAATTGGTTCTTTAAAAATAACTGCGATAAAGGAAAATCAAAGTTGTTACTTAGGCTTCCCCCAAAACTACTTATATTAGTTGAATAATATACTAGTAACTGTTTATCGCACAAACTTCTGCTCACTGCGTGATTCGAACCTTTCACAGTTAAGATCCGTACTTCACATTCGATATTACCAAAAGTTTTACTCTAAAACGAGTAAAAATCGACGAGTGGCCCTCAAAATTCACAACTCGAAGGCGCGTCGAGTCGGCGTCCTCGATGGAATTAAATGCAATTTCCTTCGCACCTACTCTCAGCGAGCCGCCGAGTTTGACTCGAGCGTATATGTGTCAGAAATATTGTTGGACTAGCTAAATGCAGGCCCCCCTTATCTCACTTCTCAATTTCGATACTTATGTACCTCTCAAACTAAAAACCTTCGATCTTCTTCTAATCGTTTACTTGTCATTCCCTCTCACCGCTCTGATATCATTCACTCTTCCTTCTTCATCAAAACTATACATTTGTGTCATGAACTCCCGTTAGCCATTAGTATGTCCAAAGCAAATATTCCTTTAAAACCAAGCTGCGAGCGAAGCTTTTTACTGGAACAGACAATTTCCTTTAGTAGTTAGTCGTCATTATTATGTATGAAATTTATTTAGTGAAGTGTATGTGTATTTATGTCTAGGTATATGTTTACGCATGTGTATGTTAATAATTATTCTGTAATTTAATTAATATGATTATTATACTATTTATATTTACTGCTTTTAATGTGATTTCCGCCTCAGTTGTACACCCTACCACTACTTTTCTCCACAACACACTATGGAAGAAATCGCTTCTAGCGATAAAACCGCCCATTGAAGCACTCTTTGCAATGTCCCTCATTTCTGTTCTGTGTTGTGGTGTTTTCAATAAAGTAT